GGGGTGCCAAGAGGATCCTAGGCATCAATATCATTGGGGATAGGAGCAAATCTACTCTTTTGTTAAACCAAGTTTCTTATGTAGAGAAGGTTTTGAGTAAATTCAACATGCGATCTGCTTCCCCTGTGAATGTTCCTTTAGAATCACATTTTGTGCTATGTAAGGATAAGTCCCCCAAGACTGATTCTGAAATTAGTGATATGAAATATGTTCCTTATTCCAGTGCTATAGGATCTGTTATGTATCTTATGGTCAGTATTATGCCTAACATTGCTTATGTTGTTAGTTGTTTAAGTCGCTATATGTCTAATCCTGGTATGCCTCACTAGAATGCTCTGAAATGGCTTTTAAGATACCTTAAATCAACTGTGAAACATGGTTTGTATTTTGCTAAGTGTTCTGATGGTACTGTGTTGCGTGGTTATGTGGATTCTAATTATGCTAATGATAGGGATAATAGGAAGTCTACCAATAGTTTGTTTGTCCACCACTGAGTCTGAATATGTTGCAGCCTGGCTCAAAAGGCTTGTCACTGATTTAGGTTTTTTTAAACAAAGTATTATTGTTTATTCAGACAGTCAATCTGTCATTCAGCTTTGCAAGAACACTGTGTTCCATGACAAAACCAAGCACATTGATGTCAGGTTCCATTTCATTCGAGAAATTGTGGAGGCAGGAGATATCATGCTGGAGAAGATCCCATATGAGTTCAATCCTGCTGATAAGGGAACAAAGTGCCTTTCTGTTGCGAAGTTACCTTCTTGTAAACGAACATTAAATCTGGATTGTGGTTAAATATTGTTTGTTTTGCAGGGTTTGGTCCATGGAGTGCTGTTTACACTCTTGGACTTTGCTCTGAGAACATGGTGTTCTCTGAGTATCCGGTTTGTCCCTTGGATCCTTCTGGATCAGGAAAGTGTGCATCACACTTTTCAATTTGTGTTTCTGGGTCTTGTGTGCCCTAGGGAGTGTTTTTCTGACACCTCCAATTGTTGGCCTAAGATATCCTTGGATGTCTTGGGCAACCAGCGATGATGAGTCTTTCCCATGCCACATTTTTGCTCTACACCACATATGACCAATAAGGTGGAGAATGTGAGAGGTATTGGCCCTATGCGCCTTGGCCTTCTTCTCCAATTAATTCCGGGACTTGGGCCTTAAACCATTTGGTTACCCCCAGCTCACTGCTTCCTTGCTTGACCCATTCCTTTGTGTTGTTCGGCCCTTATACCCGTTGTGACCTACTTACCTTGTTGGGATTTCTTGACCCGCCTATTTATTCCTTTGATCTGCCTTTGTCGTTTGAGTGAGCCGCATATGTGTAACCCTAGTTCGAGAGCCTTCTGTTTAGAGAGAGAGGGTCTCACTTCTCTCTAGCCTTTCTCCTTCTTCCGCTCCTCTCTTCACCTCCTTTGAATGTGTGTGTGCTTTGTAGGTTCTAGGGAGAGGTTTGAGAGGGTAGCTGGGTTTGGGGTTTGGATTCAGGTGCCTTTGGTGGTGGTTCCCGGTCCGGTAGGTCCTTCATGGTGGTTGTGAGTTGTTCCAGAACCTTCGGGTTCGTGTGGTTGGAGACCTGAGCTGGAAGATCTATCAGCCTTACAGACATTAATCGTCGACACCAGCCTTCTCATAGCGAATACCTTCCCTCTTCGTCATGTGATTTCAGCGCCGACCATCACCTGTCTTCTTCTCCGCCCCTTCATTGCTGATCACGGATACCTGCCTTCTTCATCATCTGCTTCTAGTGCCAACATCACATGCTTTCTTCTCCACCCCTTCACCTCTGACATCACTTGCGCTCGGAAGACATTCCATCGCCAACAACCTATTATGAAAAGCAACGACGAAAGCTCTGCCTTACTCATTCAGGTTTCTACTCTAAATTTATATATTTCTTTATATACTCAATCTGCTTTTTAACATTTATTGTATCCTATTAGTTTTTATTTTCCCACAAAATATACTACTCATAGAAATCAGGGCAAAATTTCTTTAATTTAACTTGATTTCTTCTATGGATTTTGGTATAACATTTAATATTAGAAAAAGAATTCATGATGTATATGTAATCTGTACTTATATTTATTGGGGTGATGAAGTTGATGTTGACCATGTTCTGTGTTCATGTGGGGAGGTACATGTAGTTGAGATTTAGAAGTTGTATAACGGTGTTGTATTCTCGATTCGGTCGTTGATAAATCACCGTATGGACCTCTTATGCATTTAGTTCATTCTCAATTTATAAGCTATGTCGATTTATGATTCGGACACTGATTATTGATTGTTGATAATTTAGAGAATACTATACTGTTAAGCAACATTCTACTTTCCTAGAATGTGTTTGGGAAAAAGATAATTATAAGTTAATTGAGAGGAAAATGAGAATGAAGTTGAATTTCCAGAAAAGGAAATCAAAGAAGATGAGTGTATTGAATCACCCAAAGTTAAGTACCAAAGGCTTGAGATTTTTCTTGGAGATAATGAATCTGGTAATGCCATGGTGGTGCCTGATGAAGTTTCTGTAGATGGATCACCCTTTTGAATCGTAATTCAGAGAGAAACAGTGTAGTAGAAATGTCATTGGGTTCAGAAGATGTTCTTTCAGCAAAGAATTTTAAATGATGATGTGCGCTTTTGGCAACTTTGGTGCAATCGTTCTGCCGCTGCTGAGGCTCCAACAGCTGTCAGTAATGTGACTTCTGGCTTCAACTCTCCTGCACCATCAACGAAAGGAAGACATTTTCTTATCATAATTCATATGTTGCGAGAACAAAGCCATTTTCTTGGATTTGGTAAGTTTTATTCTTCAGTAGTTTGAAGGCAAGAAGTCTGCAGTTTATTAGGCACCAACTAACTCCGTTTTTATAGCTTGTGAAGACTTTTCAGTTTCTTTAATTTGCATAGTGTTAGACCCATATTTGGGCTTATATATTATTTATTGTATTTGAGTCTAGTTTATTATTTCTTGAGCCAAGGGTTATATTTTTTCGACCATTACCATGTATATATATACTTGTATTCACAGTGGAATAGGGACGGAAGTTTTTGACCCTAATTCATACTCTAAATCCCATCATATAGCATAATCAACAATGAAGCACAAGAGGAAGGTGAAGATATTGGAGAAGTACATGGAGCACAATATATGATGAATATGCGGGATGACATTGCTAATAGACTAGTAGGAAATTTTAAATTCAAAATATTGTTCTTGTAAAATGTTTGACCTTTTCTTATTATGTAATGTGATTCTTTTATTTAAATAATTCATATATTATTATTATAGGCATATGAAATTATCGTTCAGAACACAAAGAAGTAAACAGACATTATACATTCAACTCTTGTTCCAGTCAGGAGAGTTATTTGGTCATTTGATATTATTCAGACATCTCATTCAGCTCATTTGGTAAACAATTTGTTATCTCGGTGTCACTTAATCCAGACAGACAGCTTAATGCAGACAGAGGTCTTAATCCATTCAGGGATTAATGAAAAAAAAGTAAATAGCCCTTAAATATTCTATGGATATGAAGTGGAGAAGGGCATATTGCAGTGCTTGTACTCCTTGTAGAAAACAACGTAAAATAACAAGAGCTCGTTTGGTAACACTGAAATTGGTTGAATCAACTTGTTCTGATAAATTTTTTGAAGTTTCGGCTGAAGTGACTGCATTGATTGATTTTGCTGAACTAAAGAAAATAAAAATATATATTTTGTTGAGGTTTATTCCTTGCACATTGAAGGCCCAACACAGTCTTTCGAGTTTTCATTACATGTGTTGCATATGTGTACTCAAGTGACTATTTATTGAGATGATAGCAATAGTAAGAATCAAATAAGGAAGAGGGTAAAGTGCATATGGTTCTTATTGAGTGTATATGGAAAGCTTACTACACACTTATCAAGCTTGAACCTCTAACTTCTAACTACGTTGAGAAATAGAGAGGGAGTAGAGAGAGACTAATCTATTGAATGCAAGTTTGTCAACCTTTTTCAACGAAATAAATGTGAACATTTATACCTCAATATGGTATGTACGTGGTTGAGGTAACGTTGCGTGCTCTCATATTTAGTACTTTAAATGTGTTTCTTGTTAATATTTGATTTTCACCAATCTCTTAGTAGGGCATATTCAATCTCCAGAAAACCCTCAAGTGTTTTATCTTGTTCGAGAGTTGTGGCTCGAGCGAGCCACCATGTATCGAGCGAGACGGGCAGCTCACCGGGTCGGACCATGTCCCGAACATGACTACTAGGCTCATTACGCTGATCAGGCTAGTTGTGGTATTTGGTCGAGATCGACATTCGGCCTAATACTCCAACATATTTTTTTAACAAATAAAGAAAAAATAACTAAAATAGTGTTCTACGGTAACTTCGATTAATGCAGGAAGAAAATGAATTTCATCCTTATTTATTTTGATTATTAGAGAACGCAACACGCGAAATCAAAAAATTCAAAATTATATACTTCCTCTGTCCCAATTTGATTTGCAAAATTTTTTATTTTGGTTGTCCCAAAATAGTTTTTCACTTTCTATTTTATGTATGTAAATAAGAATAAAGCGACAAATTTATCCTTACTTTTACTTTTTCCTCATTAACTTAAAGACATATACTTTTAGAAAGATGGATAAAAGTGTAAAAAACAAGTATCATTTATTGTCATTACTTAATTCTTGTGCCGATCAAAGTTTACGATTCAATTCGGAACCGATGAAGTATTTGATGAAACAAAAAAGCCTTTTGTACACACTCTTATACACACTTTTGTACACACTCTTATACACATTTTTGTACACACCTATGTTTGTGAAAGGTTTTTTTTTCGTCCGTGAACATCGATTCACAGACAATATTTTGCACAAACAAAATATTGTCTGTGAACCGGATTCACAGACAAAAAAAAAACTTCACAAACATGGTGTGTATAAGGTATGTACTAGTCATATGTCAAAATACAAACTCACTACCCAAACATGTTCTAAAGTCGAGAAATGGAGCTGACCGTTAGATTATTTCCTTCCCTTATCATCATTTAGGACTACTTTGAGATTCCGAAGTATCAAATTCAAGAAACATCCACCGGCCGTCTCCGGCGATCCAAAGTCAGCACCATCTGTTTTGATGAAATGCTGACCGCCACCAGTCTCTCCTCTCCACCGTCTTCTTCCGCATCAGCCTTTACGCCGTCAATCCCGTTTTCGGGCACACTCCGTTCATCTTGCTCTTTTGCTACTCCAATACTAAGACTTCCTACTGCAAGTACAAGCTCTGCCAAAAATAGGACTTTTCTACGCGTTCAAACATCTTCCTCGTCAAGGCCGATGATCGAGAAGGAAACGCTGGAGTCCCAACGGCCAGATTCGTTCCTACGTGATTCCGATACCGGGGACTTCTCCGGCAAAGAAGATAATCCGGGTTCTGTGAGGGCTCGTTTTGAGAAGATGATTAGAGAGGTCCAGAACAACGTGTGCTCGGCGTTGGAGGGTATAGACGGAGGGGGGAAGTTTAGGGAGGATGTCTGGTCCAGACCCGGTGGTGGCGGTGGCATCAGTAGGGTTTTGCAGGACGGCCACGTATTCGAAAAGGCCGGCGTCAATGTCTCTGTAGTTTACGGCGTCATGCCTCCCGACGCCTATAGAGCTGCCAAGTCATCCGCCTCTGCCGCCGACAATGGCGACGTAAAGGCCGGCCCTGTCCCCTTTTTCGCTGCTGGGATCAGCTCGGTAAAATTTCCAGATTTTGAGATTTCTTAATCCAGCTTTGAAAATCATTTCTCCTACTGATGAGGTCAAATATATGTATTAGGTTCTGCATCCAAAGAACCCTTTTGCTCCAACTCTGCATTTCAACTATAGGTATTTTGAAACGGATGCTCCGAAAGGTACTGTTTTGATCTTACTTTTTCATATTATTAGGAGACAATGAATTTCTCAAAAAAGATAGATCCTAGGAAGGCTGCAGATTTGGCAGATTTAAGATGGCCTAAGTTCTGAACACCATTGGTGGCGAAGAACATCATAGTGCCTATGCTGATAAGTTGGAATTATGATGAGATTTTTACAAGTGTGTAAAATTGCACACATGTTATTGCAGTTTCCTGGGGAAGATATGTAAAACCAGTTGCTATTAAGCTACAATTTTGCATGATTCTATGTAAAATTTGATCTTTCACTTTGTAATTGATCTTTTATCAGGCATGACTTGCATAGCTGTGGCACTTTCAATCTCTATATTATCCACAGTGATAGTTTTGATAGATTGAATGAATCGACATTTACAGATTCAGACCAAATATTAAGTGATGTAAATAAGAATTCCTTACTCTACTTGACTACCAACATGACATTTCTGTAGTAGTCCATAGCATTACTGTGATGGCAATTCAGACTTTTTTATATTACTATTAATGGGGGGGAAACTAAACGCTCAACTTTTATTAGTTTTGACGAAAGAATCATGCATCAGACAATTTTTGCAAAAGTCATGCGCCTCTAGTGTTAGATTATTGATGAGTCAATGTTCCTCTAGAATCTACTCAATCTAGGTCATCACTCCCTCCTTCCCATACTTGTATCCCTGGTTTGACCTAGCAATCTGGCATGCATATTAAGAAAGTGAAATTGCATAGTTCTAGTTCATGTAAATGAGAAGAAAATTTTACATCTCAAAAAGAAAAGTGGGAAGAAAAATATAGGATGGAGGGAGTATATATTAAAAAAGGTATCATTACTCCATCTCAATATATAAAATAAATATATACTTTGTGTCAATTGGTCATCATTCCTATGTGTTCAAATCACTTGCAGATGCTCCTGGAGCACCAAGGCAGTGGTGGTTTGGTGGTGGTACTGATTTGACACCTTCCTACATTTTTTATGAGGACGCGAAACACTTCCACTCGGTAAATTGTATACAAGACTGATCCTGCCCCCAATTCCCTGTGGAACTAATGCTTGTTTTTGTGTCATTATGCCCATATCAACCTGACAAAAGAGAATAAAATCAGTGTGTCATCCTGAAATCCTATTTTCTTCAAGGCAGATGAGTAAGAGCCAACCAAGCTGCAAAGAAATACTTGTATACCATGTCATAAACTAGATACAAAGGCTGTTTTTATGTCTTAGACTCTTAGTATAAACATACTTACATACCTTACCTTTACGAACCTTCCATCCTGAAAAAGAGTGTTATTGATAATTTATTTTGTAGCAATAACAGAGTTATGTTTTAATGGTGTTCTTGATTTGCTTTAAAAAGTTAACTATGTTAAAGTTAGTAAAAGCAACAAGTAAGTTTAAATATGTAGCTAGAATTGGTGATTTCCAATAGTTGTACGGTTGTACCTCCAATTGTTGCAACTCTTTGTTTGGGACATAGTATTTTATTTTTATTTTAACGCTCCAAGCCTTTAGAGATTTGCTTATGTTTGAATCTGGCTTGGTATATTGTTCGCTGAAAAAGATTTTCGAATTTAAGGTTTGTCCAATTCTTAAAAAAACAAGCTTGTTAAATGTTTGTGGCTTATGTTCTGAAGGTTCAAAAAAGTGCTTGCGATAAGTTTGATCCCAGCTTCTATCCTCGATTCAAAAAATGGTGTGATGATTATTTTTATATTAAGGTATGCTTTCCATAGTCTGCAACTACTTGCTTTGTGTGATTTATTAGTCTCAGTATGTTTATTCATTGCTCTTTTGGGACTAAGGCTTCGATGTTGTTGCAGTATGTTTATGTATGCATTCTACATTTCTACTTATTCACACACACATACTTGTTTAAGCAGCCATTGTGTATTACATGAGAAATAAAATGTCTTTTGGGGAAAAAAGCGTTACAACTTTTTTTAGGTGGACAAAGTAACGAACTATTACCCCTTTTGGTGTTGTGAATTGAAACTGGATCTTAAAAGTTGACAATTGACTACGTCAATTGATTGTTGTCGTCCGATGCTGCTCACCCTCTTTATCCAATTTCCCATATTTCCTGTCTTTCATGAAGGTTTCAACTTGTGCTTAGACTTTTAATACAATCAGCTTCTTTTCAGATTAGGGAAAGAGGGAAATACCAAACTGCTTTTTCCCACTATAAATAAGCACCCTGCCATTGTTGTAGAGGTGTAATACTGTGATTAATGTCATATGCAGCACCGCGGAGAGAGGCGGGGTCTAGGAGGAATATTCTTTGATGATTTAAATGACTATGATCAGGAGATGCTTCTCTCTTTTGTTACAGGTAAAGTAAAAACTCCTCATCACACTTTGGACAGTTATTTATCTTTAATATATCAAAACTAGCAACTGGTAGTAAAATGAGTTGTCAGGATTGCAGAGTGTGCGAAATCTGTCATCCCTGCATATATACCGATAATAGAGAAGAGGAAAGATACACCCTTCACTGACAACCACATAGCGTGGCAACAACTACGTCGGGGACGCTATGTAGAATTCAACTTGGTATTGTACTCAAATTCCCAGTAGAGTTTGTGCCCGCATAGTATTTGATTTACAACCTTTGACTTTTTTCTTTATCATAAATGGAAAAAAGGTTTATGACCGTGGAACAACATTTGGACTAAAGACGGGAGGCCGGATAGAGAGTATTCTTGTTTCTCTTCCATTAACTGCACGATGGGAGTACAACCATGTAAGTGTCTCTGCTCAACAACTCCATACAATGTTGCCATTGTTTGGAAAGACAGATAGGCAATATGATGAAAATGATCAATAAAATAATATTATTATTCTCATTTCAGCAACCACAAGAAGGGACTGAAGAATGGCGGCTTTTGGATGCTTGTATCAACCCTAAGGAATGGATCTGAGTTCTAGTTTATGGAGGTTATATGTAATTGTTTTCTCTGCCAATTGAGTTATTTATATACGTAGTATTTATAAGTTTCCTGTTTCAGTATAGGTCAGACAGAGTTTGTAATGTTTTGTCAAAGGACATCATGAACCCTTGGTGTTGATAGATTTATTGCTGTCTTTTGTTTTTCTTAAGACTTGAGTTTTCAACCCTTGCCAAGTACCCAGTAGCTTTTATGTTTTTCATCTATATAATTTATTTATTTAGTTTTTGCCTGCTGGCAATCGAAGCTTTTTTGAGATACAAAGTTACAGCTAAATGAAATTTGTTATTCAAAAAAGAGGATGACACCCCATCCCTGAGGGCCCCCCAACACCGATCCCATCCCTTGGACTGTAAAAGAGGATCTAAATGAAATTTGTTATTCAAGTTCTTAATACAAGAGGCTCGTTCCACTTGGTAATACAAAAATTAGCTGAATCGACTGGATTTGTTAAAATAGGTGAAATATTGATTGAAGATGGTGAATAGGTTGGATCCGTTGAATTCGGGAATTGTTTTTAGAATATACGGATTATTTTGTTAAGAAAACAAAAGAATAAATGAAAAACAACCAAAATATTGACTTTTGATCAATTCAATCAAAAAAGTAACTTCAATCCACTTATTTTGATTATTAAAATTCATCCATCACGTGAAATAGAAGTTGCGTGTTTGATAAAAAGTTGATTGACGATAACATAAATCGAAAAGAAAGGTTGCCAAATGTGCTTAAAGTTTCATATTCAAGCAAGGTCATAATTTGAGTTTCTAAGGACATGTTTACTAACAGAGATATTTTCCTGTTTTCTATTTCTATTTTTCGTTCTCCAATTTTCTGTTTTTATTTTTCAGTTTTTCTATATCCAGTTTTCTGTTTCTATTTTCTAGTTTTCCATTTTCAAATCTGAAAAGATGTTCATCAATTTTTCCACCAAGTTTTGTGATCATCCAGAAGACTGACACATTTGCTTCACAGGTTACTAAATGGTGTTTATTAAGACTCGCGTTAATAAGCGACGCATAAAATAAGCAATGTTATAAGATCGTGTTTACTTCAAAAAGTTTAAAGCACTGTTTAACATTAAAATGTTCAAAATAACTCTATACATATATAGACACACAAACATTCATGAACACAAATATATATTATAATATGATGTGTCGATCACCTCATACGTGTACCCATACTCCTAACCCCTACCATGCCCCTATACCTCGTACCCCCACCCTACACCCAATTCTACACCCTTGACCAGGTGACCCCTACCCCTACCCTTACCACGATCTTACACTCTACCCATACTCCCCTAAAACCCTTCATACCCACCCATACCTACTCGTAGGGGTCGGGGTAGGGAAGGGTGGGGTGGGTGGAGGTGGGCTAAGGGGTATGATCGGGGTGGGGTGGTAAGATCTTGGGGTACGGGGTTGGGTGGGGTAGTGGGTGGGTTAGGGTGGTGATTAGGGGTAAGGGTGGGGGTAGTGAGTAGGGTTGGGATTGGGGTAAGGTAGGGGTAAGGTAGGGAGTTGGGATATGATGGTGGTAAGTGTGGGGCCAGGATCAGGGTGGGGCCGAAGTAGGGTGGGGGTAGGGTGGCAGTAGGGTGGGGGTAGGATGGCGGCACAAGGGTGGGGGTAGGATGACGGTACAAGGGTGGGGATAGGATGGCGGTAGGGTGGGGCCGAGGTAGGGGCATGTGGGAAGGGGTAAGGGGTAGGGTGGGGGTAGGATGCAAGTAAGGTGGGAGTAGGATGGCGGTACAAGGGTGGGGGTAGGATGGCGGTAGGTTGGGACCGAGGTAGGGGCATGTGGGAAGGGGTAAGGGGTAGGGTAGGGTGGGGCTGAGGTAGGGGCATGTGGGAAGGGGTAATATACCAGAACTAAATTATTTGAGTATATATTGACGTAGTTGTAGGGATGGACCCGGGCCGGTCCGATTCCGATTCCGGGCCGGGCTCGGGCGGGCATTTTTTGCAAATTCATGGGCCCGGAAACGGCCCGGGTTGATACCGGATTCGGGCCGGGCCGGACCCGGTTCGATATCTATTTTTTTTTTTTTTTTGCTTTCTTGTTATCCCCCGACCCCCCCCCCCCCCCTCACCCCCCACCCCTCAAACCTCCCCAAAACACCCATTCCTAGCCTAGGAAAAGAAAAAAAATGAAAAAACAAAAAAAAGACCCGAGCCCGACCCGGCCGACCCGCCCAAACGGGCTAAAAGCCCGGAACCGGCCAACCGGGCCCAAACAGTACCGGGCCGGTTCGGCCCGGCCCAGTCCATCCCTACGTAGTTGATTATCTCATACTCTCATAGTGACTCTCATACTCATACCCGCACGGGTAGCTCAGTTGGTCGAGTGGTGGAAAAATTGGACCAAGTGACCAAGGTTCTAAACCCGTAGCGACCGTGTGGAGGTTACAGAATCTGAAATAAGACTGGACCTCTGGTGCGCACGTGTATAAAGCCTACCGCCGCTTTGGTGACTCAGTCACCGTGATTAACCTCCCCACAATCATGTCGGGTCGGGGTGGGGGGCCTTGGGGTTGGGCATTCAACCATTTGGACCAACATACTCGTACATCAAGTGTTCATAATTCATATAAGCAAATACAGAATACAATGCAAATATTGATGCATCCCATATTTGTAGCAATTATTTTAAAAATGAAGATCTTCCCAGCTGTTACTAATAATAGAGCTGCTGTGAACCTACACTCTAGTTTCGCTATACATCTCAGTCAGAATCAAGCCGGTAAGAACGGCATAATGACCCTGAGAAATTTGAAAATTCTGAAAAAACAGTTGGGCTAGATATGAACTCCATTCCCATTGCAGTGACTTCCATTTGAATTTATAGATCCGTTGGCGAGCTCGTCGCGATGGTGGTATGTCTTTGTTGGCGTGTGGCCATTGCTAAAGCCACAAATACTCTTCTTAAGGACGCTATTGAGTTGCCCACATGCAGCTGCTATAAGCCCTGTTATTCCCCATTAAAGTCCAGATATTGAAAATTTACACACAAACATTGATCAACAACCAAGTAAAAATGTAAATGATGTTTTTTCTTTAATAAAATGACACACGATAGAAGGTAGATAAGCTTGCCTATGAAGAGAGGGGAAGGTTTTCCAGGTCTTGATTTGAACTCGGGATGAAATTGAACTCCAACGAAGTAAGGGTGATTACACAGCTCCAAGATCTGCAATGAAAACATGCCAACCTAAAAACACACAGTACTTTGAATACCATCTAAAGCAGCCGCTTTGAAAATTTAGTCACAATTACTATACCTCCATGCGACAACCACTTTCATCTTTGCCTGTGAAAGAGAGACCGGCACCTTCAAGCTGTTCTACCATTTCAGGATTTACCTACACAACATAAAAAATTCAAACAAAAAGGAAGAAAAAAGCTTTTTAGACAAAACCCCATGTAGGCGCAAAAATTACTAGCACTATTCTAAAAAATGTCTTTTGCACCTCATATCTATGGCGATGTCTTTCATCAATGAAACTCACGTTCCCGTATCTAGAAGAAAAATGAAATCATCTTAATTAGGATTTAAGCACGATAATAGCTATAGGTGGAAATGAAGGGAAAAAGAGACAATAGTCCAGATACATTTTCAACCCTGTTTTATGCATCATCCCTGTTTTCAACCCCCAATAAACTCATAGGAAAAAAATCTCACATGAGAGATATGCCTAAAAGCTTTCTAAAATTGTAGATCAACATGAAAGGTAAGAATATAAAAAAACCAACAAATTCTTTCTTGAACTCCTGTTATGCAAGCAAGTGTTGAGAGGAACAAGGTAGACTTACAATTTAGCAGAAAGACAGTCCGTAACCTGAAAATATGTCCTCCTGGACCCAAGTCGCATTGTCCCTCCCATATGAGTTTTTGAACCCTAATAAGGAGCATGCAGGTAAGAAAAGTTCGAACCCTAGATTATAACAGCTATCATGATTTCACCATTCACACTCAGATTGTATGAGACCCTAACCTCTGGCATAAAAATGACGCATGGATTCTGGGTATTTGAATCAAACTCTGTGCTATTTGCATCTGTCAAACCAAGAACTGATCGAGCAAAATCAATAACGGCAATTTGCATTCCCAGACATATTCCAAGGTAAGGAAGCCTGTTTTCACGAGCATATTTAGCTGCAAGTATTTTTCCCTCCACGCCCCTGTCACCAAACCCACCAGGAACAAGCACAGCATCTGCGCCCTATAAGATTTTTGGCACTGTTAACTAATGAGATAATACATGAGGAACTGCTTAGAAAGTGAATATCAGAGAAGAATACACTAGACAAACCTTTAAGAGATCCCAAGCACTCCTATAATTTTCAGGATTCTGGAAACCAGAAAAATTATCCACTTGAATGTTAAAAAACGGCATTATTGACAGATGTGTAGCTCTGAAAGAACACCTGAAAATGAGAATTACAGGAAATCAAAACACACCTCTGTTTCTGTAATACCCTCCAGATCCCCAGCTGCAATCCAATCTACATGCAGTTTCCTGTGGCAGGCAACAGAAGCATGCAAAAGCGCCTGCAAATAATCAAGTCCTAAAATTCTGAGAATAATGGAAAAAGTGGTAGGAGAAATTTTTCCTTTCTCAAAGTATTACTGAATACATATAGTGCGGTCTGCAAATATTTTTTTACCCAATAAATCTAGTAATCTGCCCATGCAGGTCATCTCTACAACAACAACATTACCCCAGTGCCACATAGGCTGCAACCTACGGTGTGTAAGGGGGTCAGATGTACGCAGCCTTACCCCTGTTTATGGATGACCCGTGATGAAAATCGCATCGAAATTCCCATGCAGGTCATCTCTAAATTAAATAAATATACAATAGATGAACCAATGTGCAACATGGTATTACATCCTTAACTTCATCCTGAATAATCAGTTCCAGTCAAACTTTGGCCAATTACAAGTAGCAAATACATAGACAACAGGATTAAGTTAGGAACTTAGGACTCCTAAAAAATAGACTGCCTGCATGAGAATGATGCTAAAGAAGATTAAGTTCACCTTCAATACAGAGAGGTATGAATCTGATAGTCCTGTGTACTTTCCAACCATGGCAACTCTTACCTGTTAATCAAATAGCAGTGAGTTTCAGAAAGCGGGAAGAAAATATAGGGGATCAAACTTCAGAAAATTCGAGAGCCTACTGGTTCATGTAGCATGTCACAAAGCTCAGCACGAGATGTCCATTCTCCCAGTGCAGGCTCCTTTGCAACTCTGAGTGATTTGTTGGAAAAGAAATTATGACTATAGACAAATAGTCAAATAGTTCACAATATAAATATTGTGATCACTATTAAAGAAAAAAGGAATAAAAAGTAATAATTGGCTAGTATCGCAACAAGAACAAAAAGAGCTTATATAAGACAAGACAAACCCTTCGAGGTTTAGGGCTCTCAAAATGGCTTCATGCGCCTTCTGGTCCTAAACCATGACGGAAAACTGGTGTAGGCCATGTTGAATCAACATATAAAGTAAGCATTAAGAAAAGAGAGGACTACTTACTCTTAGAAGCAAAGGAACGTGCCAGATATTAGAAACATCATTAAGAGTGACAATATTCTCTACCTGGGGATGACAAGCATGCAGAGTAAATCATAAATGGCCTTACAAGTTTAAATTGCAAAATAGACTGATTTCAAGTGGGAGTCACTAAAAATACCGGGACATGGCAAAATCGGGAAAGTTTCTCCTTCACGTTCTCATCCAGTTGCTGATAAATAGAAAATCAATTGCACAAGTCAATTGTGAAATTTAGGAGGAAGAGAATACATACAGTGTGTGTCTCAGTGTGTAAGTGAACACCAGATACAAAAAAGAGAGACCTTAGTGCTCCGACATGCTAAAATATCTGGTGTCAATCCTAGACTTCTCAGTCCCTTAACACTGTGCTGTGTTGGCTTTGTTTTCTGGACATTTAAAAATCAAAAATACACTTAATTTGCAGGTTTTAATTATAAAATATGTGATAGAAAGGCACATAAAGAGGAAAATTATGTTTGCAGCACTCACCTGCTCACCAACCACATTCAACACAGGCACAAGGCTGACATGTATCAAGCAGAAGTTCCCTGTACCTAAGAATCATAAAATTCATAAAGATAAATATAAAAATGACAAAGCCATTTATCATGTGACTAACTTTCCCTCCAATGCATATTAAATTACATTGAGTATACATAATAAAGATTTGATTTAGCTTCTCCCCTTGTTCTATTTGGGCAGCTAACTTACCAACACGATATGAAAATTGTCCTAAAGCCTCGAGAAATGGCATTGACTCGATGTCACCTAGACCAAGTAAAAAAATAAAAGTTCAGTCCCACAAACAATAAAAGAAAAAATCAATGGTACCCCATGTGAAGAATTATTTTTATAATACCTATAGTGCCACCCAATTCTATGATACATACATCAGCTGGACCATCTCTACCATCAACTGGTATGACTGCTACACGTTCAATCCATTCTTGAATGGCATCAGTAATGTGATGGACGACCTAAATACAATGGTGGTTGGATCACATGTCCAACTAAGTGGCACCCCATATGAAAAGGAGACAAAAATGTAGATACTCCAAAAATAAGACTGACATACCATGACTGTTTTACCCAAATAATCGCCTTTTCTTTCCTTTTCAAGAACAGACTGAAAATAAGATTCACTGGTCATTTAAGTTATCTGAGAAGCCAAACAGAAAAGAATTTGATGGATCCAGCTTGAACAAGGCTTTTGCAAATAAAACTTTAACAGTAAATACATACCTGGTAAATTTTTCCGGTGGTTATATTGTTGTCATGTGTCAACTTCACATCTAGGAAACGTTCATAGTTCCCAAGATCTAGATCCACCTAAAAGATCACCAAGTCACAGTTATGTTGACCAATAAAATACATTACTTTATAGTTTTCTTAAACAACTTTTCCTGTACAGTGGCAAATTAAAAACAGGTTGTATAACCATATACAATTGAGCATGAAAATGTGGCATTAGGTTCAATAGGTGTCGCATAGGTTTACTAAAGGAGATTTGAATTATTATTCTTCATTTAAATTGACATTAATATGATTTTCCAGAAGGCATTGAAGTATGTCTAGCAAGGGATATATGTTTTTGGAGCAAAATAGTTAGCACTACAACACTTTTTCCCAATATGTAGGGTGATGAACTAGCATAAACACCAAGATAACTCGAACTACTATCCAACAAAAATAAACAGATAAGTCCGATAATATGTGTTAATATACAACTTGTTTCCTTTTCCCAAGCTAAATTTAACATGTGCAATTGAACGAAAAGTGCTCTTCTGACCTCTCCACCATCATCCAAAACAAATACTTCACCATGTTCAAAGGGAGACATTGTTCCAGCATCAATATTCAAGTAAGGATCTGAAGAGAGGGAAAGACAGTTATTTACAAGATAAAAAAAAGGTTCCATGAGAAGTGCTTCTCCTAATATAATGAGACAAAAGGCAATAATAAAGTGGTGGCTGGACTATTACAAAAGCAAAGCAAGCAGTTTCAATTTTAGGGAGTGTAAAGTTTGAAACACCAAAGATAGAAAAAAGTTAAAAAATATGAGCTTTGTCTTGTTACAAAGGATGAGCTCCGTCCTGTCACTAAGTTAAAAAAAATGTTCACAATTTGAGCCTCCGGTCGCCAAAAAAGTAGCTCAGCGTTGTCGCTAAGGATGAGAAAACAACAATAAACACAGCTAAAATAATCAGCACTGTCTTTCCCGTTTCTCTTTTTACTTGATATTTGAGGGTAAAACGTGATATGAACCATGCTTTCATGATTCTTGATCAGGTTTGAAGAAAAGCAATTCACAAGAACAAAAGAGTGGATGGTGTGTGGAGAGAGACCAATCTTGATGGAAGTGACACGAAGCCCGCATGCTTGAAGAATGAGGCCTATACTACTAGCCGTTACTCCTTTTCCTAGGCCGCTCACCACTCCTCCCGTCACCAAAACGTACTTCATCTCTGAGCTACAACAAAACAACAACCAATACGAAATTCCTCATAATTGCAATACACATACTACAAACATTGCTGCAGTAATACTCTGGCCAAATTCTTCTAAAAGAAAAAAGCACTTTTAGACACTATTGAGCTGATTAATTTCGACTCTAAAAGAAATATTCCCGCTGTCAAAAGAAACAAACGCATTCTTATTTCCAACAGATTTTAATGCATTATTACCTTCAACTGTTCTAGCCGGGGGAGCTGTGCAAATGCTGACCGCCAATGAGATTTTTGTAGAGAATTTGTTTGGTTTGAAGGTGGGGCGAAAGAGGAAGCTGGGATGGCGGCTCTACATAAACCCCTCGAGAGTCCAAACCCTGCCTCCGCTTCCACGTTTTGTCCACTTCATTCTCGGGCTGTGAGATTTTTAAGAGCCACTTTAAAATTAACTAGAAGTCCAAAATGGTTTAAACTAATGATTAAAAACAAGCTAATTAGATGAAAATGTTATGGGGAGTTTCCAAATAAGGACAGGCATGTTTTGGAATTTCAAAATATAATTATTTTACTTTTATTATCTAAATAGAAATAATTACTATCAAGTTTGAAAAATACTTTCATTTTAAAGTTCCATAATAGTGTCAAAGCATAACATTAATTAATCTTATTTAGCGAATAAAAACGTGACGATTTTATTTTAAAATTACAAATATATTTACTCCTAAGTAGACCAATTTCTCAAATGCAAGTGTAGAGTCCAAAGGGTGTAAAATGTCAATATAGAGTCCAAGGGACATTGATCTACATTTTAACTGTGTCAGCACCTCATTTGGAATAGCAAATCTCATAGTAACTTCAAGGTCTTGTGCCACTTCAGAATGTATTTCAGAAGCTACTTACTCATTGCATATTTCAGGCTACATCCATTAATGATAAAATGAATATCAAGTTAGACAAAGTAATAGTTCACCATATTTACTTTTTTGGTCAATGATAACAAACTTTGGATAATGGTTTTAATTATTATTGATGGATAGTCTACCCGGGGGTATGTATCCGAAGGGTTACTGCGGGGAGTAACTAGAGAGAAGTCAGAGCAAAAGTAAGAGAGAGAATATATTGCTGAGAATGTGATGAGCGATTTTTAGCTTGGATTACAAATGGGGAAAAGGGACGCTATTTATAGTAGTAATAAATGCCAGATAGGGACATGTGTCATCATTCTGGTGGTCGAGGGGTCACCTCAACGGGGTGGCGCTGGCATTCGCATGTGGCCGCATTAAATGCGGTTGTTGGATGTGACGTCGTACTTGGTACGGTGATTCAGGCGCATGTGGAGAGGATATTATGTCGAGAAAGGTGCCCTCGACTGCAGATGATTAGCCGAGGACTCTGAGTACCGGGGACCTCCTTAGCGTTGAGGGCTCTAGGTGCCGAGGGCTACTGATTTTCGCCGTTTTCTCCCAGTGACTTTGTTTGCTTGAGTTGGCCATCCTGTGAGAATTTGGAGCCTTCGACCAGGGGGGCGAAGGCACCCCCAGTGTGCCACGTGGGTTGCTTAGTACTTGGGGCGCTGTGATTTGGGTCTGTTGTGCTTCCTGGGCCTATTGGGCCTCCTTTAGAATAGTAGGAGTCTATGGGTCGGGGGTTCCTGGGTCATATACTCCATCAATTATGTTTGTATATAATTTACAAATTTTATATTTTCTATGAAAATATTTTGAATAAGGAACATTTTGATATAATTTTCATACTCAAAATAATGTCGTATTAAAATATATCATTGATCAAAGTTGATTGTCATTGATCAAGAAAAGTCAATTTGGCGAATCTTTTCGGGACGGAGGGAGTATAAAACTCAAGAGGTATTTAAAACATAGAAGGCATTTTGGTCATGACAAATACAAAATCAAAGTCATTTTAGTCATGTTAAAACTGACAAGCTATTTATAACTTACAACTCTCTCTTTATCGACACATTTTGCTCTCTTATGTCCCTCCACATGACGCATCCCACAGCTTTGGACTTGTCCTTTTCTTGAAGCTCTATGAGATGATGCAGTATCAACAACTTTTGAACCACTGCACTTTCAGGACCTTTGGCCTCATTTGAGCCTCTAACTTTGTTCTTCTTTGGTCTATCGGGTATGTTTGGAACTCGGGGAGGTAAAATAGGTTCATATTCATCCACTTTCATGAAAGCCTTTTCGGGAACACGTTGCAAAGGGTAGTACTGATAAGATGTCATGTAAGTTTCTCTATGGTACCACTGGATATGTATGACATGACATCTACCTTCTTATAGTATAAAGCACATAAGGCATGTAAGCAAGGAATTCCAGTCAATTCTCATGCTCTGCAAGTGCAAATCATTTTATCTAACATAACAATGTGTTAATTTTCGCCCTCTCCAATCTCAAACCTCACATCACCAATAAAAATGATAGTGCATCCTGTTGTAGCCTCCTTATTAGCTTGATAGTACTCCGTGCATGAGGGAGACCAATCATTTATCCACTTCTCATAATGGTCCTTAAAATCAGAAAGCCTTTTCATTTCCTTCAAACGTATATCTTCTAGCATGCTCACAATGGGTTTTGCCCTAGCTTCTCTAATCCATGCATTAAATGACTCTGTGATGTTGTTATCAATCATCCAACATTTACTTTGGCTACTAAAGTATGCCTAACACCAAGTTTGAATTGAATATTTCAATACGTCAGAAGCATCTTCATTACTTATTTCCAAGCCTTTTCAAGTTGATTTGCAGCTCTTCTTCATATGTGCTCCACTTTTGCAAAATTGGTCACCTCTCCACTTTTTTGACCAATTATGATCAACATGTCGAGCACAGAACCGATGTTATGCATCTAGTATCACATCCCGAGCTGCAATGATTAACCCTTTTTGCATATTAGAGATAAGGGTTAAATCAGCACCACTCTTGAGGTCTAGTTCCCAAACAAGCCAAGTTAGAAATCACCTCCAATTGGATTTGTTATGGCTCATGATATATGAACCATTTGTCCATCTCCGTCCACCCCAACCGCAAGCACTAGCAAAATCCTCTTTCACACACCCTTTTAAAACAAACGTCCTCGCCTATGATCCTTTCGCAACCTGCCAACCAGTTCTGCTTCAAAGCAACAAAACAGATGAACATTCTCTTAAAACTTCCTTTCCTTCTTTCAATGCAGCACTGCATAATTCTATTTCAATTGTGGAACCAGGATTACTTCTCTTTAAAGTGGCAGCAATAAGGCCTAGGACAAGTTCAATTCCTAGGTAAAATAGATTGAACCTTTTGAAAAATATCAAATTTTAATAACGTTCCGGTTCTTATAAATTTTTATAGAAGCAATATGGCCCTGAACCATTCTTAACGGTTCAGTTCTTGTCATTTAACGGTTCCTAGTTTAAAAAAAACTTACAAATCACTGTTAAATTTCTGCCAAAAAATCAACGCATGAAATAACAAGAAATACAGATATATGTTTACCATCATTTCAAACCTCAAAAGTTGAGTTTAAAACATAAATACATACAAAACTGAAAATTTTAGTAAAAAAACATATTCACTACAACCAACGATATGATCTTGACTCAACAACGTAATTAGCCAGCAAAAAATATCATTCATCTCAAAGAGTCACAAGCAAAGCACTCAATTCCGACCATTCGACTTCTAATAAGAGGCGTAAGAGCCTTAGAGGAACTCGTTAAAATAAATAATAATGTTAAATACTTAAATCACTAATGAAAAACAGTCAGTGTATTATAAAAATAAATATGTATATATGCATTAAAGTATATACTATTAAGAAATATATAAAATTTTAATTATTATATACAAAAGTTCCTTAACGGTTCTATGTACATATTTTTTTCAGGAACCAAGAACTGAAGTGTTAATAAGAAATAGGAACCGAACCATTTACAAATAACTAATAAATGTTGGAACTTAACCGAACCGAGTCATAACAGTTCAGTCCGGTTCGGTTCTCCGGTTCTTGGTTCAATTCCAAAGTCCCAGCGCTAGGCAGCATAGGCTTTTAGATATCCAAACTCGGTCTTATAGCTTCCGTCCATCTGTTGGATAATCGGCATCTTTGCTCTTCTGCACAAGCTCACATTTATCTTCAACTTCTTTTCAGTTTCCTCTTTCATATCAGCAACTCCAAAGCTAGGATTTTTTTGCAGGTGACCTTTGAAATAATTTGCTAACCACTTCTGGCTAGCACTTGGAATAGAATAGTGCTATATTGAGTTTAGGATTACAAACCTTGACAGCCAGCCCACAATTCTTGACATATTGAGATATCCACTATCTAAACGGACAACCCTCCTCATTAAGACATTTGACTGCCAAACGGTTCTTCTCATTCAGTTCTATTCTCAGCTTGTACCCAAATTTCACTCCATAATTAGAGATTCTTGTTTGAGCCTCTTTAACATCTTCAAACTTCATTGAGTTCATTCCATTCATGAAAGAACCTGGTCCATCATTCATAGCGTAGTTCGCTCTTGGTTCATCATCTGAGGAGTCATCATATTTTTTGCTCTCCTCCTCCTCATGCCCCTCATCCTCTTCTTGCCCTCCATTTCATTCTTCATATGTTTCATATCCATTTGGGACATAACTAGTCTTTACTTCAATTTGCTCTCTCACATGTTCACCACCACCATCACATCCTAACCCATTTTGGTTTTCACCATGTTGGTCTGTCTCACTAAACACTTCTATTATGGGAATTAGAGGAGGTTCTAATACGGTTTAGCATCTTCCTTATTGTGTCATCATCTTGGATTAAGAACACTCCATTTTCCATATCTTTTCCAGGTTCCAACACATAAATGTTTTTTAGAGTTTTAAAACACAAATCATCCTTGTATTTTCGAGAAATGTCATGATAACACAAATAATCAGGGTCAAATTCATATATTGTATCCCATGCCCCCATTAACGTATTGTAAAGGCTTGAACACTCACCTCCTGTTATGGTTAAATCTCAGATTGACCAGCTCCTTTTACAGTAAAAGTAACACGAATGGAGTACCCTTAGAACGTTTCAACGGAGTCCATAAGTAAACTTAAAACTTCAGTTTGTAATCTTCTCAGGTGACTCGCACTTACAGTCCATGAAAACTCACTTAAGGTTGCAATTTGATTGTGACTTTAATCGCAGGGAAATGGATTGGATAACGGTGAAACGGGCGTCAAAACATGAATGTTAGTGGGTGGTTTAAAATAAGGGTAAAAGTTTGAATCTTTGAATATTTGATTACTAGATTCTCACCTGTGCAATGCACGGAACATTTAGTAATAATAATTATACCATATGATTAGTTAACATTATTATTTTATGTATAATTAAAAGTTATAATATATACTTTGTATACCAATAAACTATATCAAAAAGTATGGATGTA